CGGCTCCCCGGCGCGGAGGAGGGGGAGGGACGGCGGGGCGGGCCGTTGCGCCCGCTAGGCTCCCTCCCCCTTGCCCGCCGGGTGGCAGGGCTGGAGGATGCTGGCAAGATGCACTCCATCACTCACTTCTCCGGCAGGGAGCTCCGCCTGCCACCCGCGCCTAGGGTACCGCTCCCACCAGGGTCCTGTGCTGGCACCACTCGCCCAGGCGTGGATTCCTAAGAACAAGGATCCTCATTCCACCGCTGCTATCTCGTCACTCAAAACTGGGCAGTGGGGACAGAGCAGTGGGGGACTTCACAGGTTCGCGGAAGGCAAAGGAGAGAGAAACAATTGTTTATTTTAGAGATGGTGTCTATAATACATTTTTAGTTCTAGGTACACGTGGCCTTTCCAGATCTTTACCCTGTTGGGAAGTGTAAATCGAAGCCAAGCCCTTCCTGGTGCACACACAAAGAGACCAACCCTGCGCATGTGTCTAATCCTCAGGCTGCTGAAGTCAGAAGGAATCCGGGAGGCAGCAGGTCGCAGATGTCCTCCGCAGAAAAGGCAATGATGCCTGGTTTGACAATGCGTTTTAGTTAACTAAAGCTCAAGGAGCTACTGGCATTTCATCTATTCAGGAAATAAAAGGCAGAACGGTTATCCTTTGAAGCGCTGAATTGTTCAACTTGTAAAAATCAAAGGAATAAACTTTTTCCTCTTAGTCTAGGAAGACATACTAAAATTTATGTTTTTTTCTCTAATTTAAAGATAAACAATTTTAGAGTTACATTCTTTTAGGTGATTCGAGGGAAAGGAATATTGAATACTGGCTGGCAGAAATTTATGGATTTTTACCTATAGTCAAGAATATTTACAGCTTAAGTAGCTAAGGAGGTTGATAGTTAAGAAAAAAATGTGCAAAGATCAAATACATTGGTGTTTCCTCAATTGTGAGGAATTTATATAGAATGGATCATCAAAAGACCATGTTTAATTCTGCTTTATTTCACAAGTATCTTTTCTAGGTTTTCATTTAAATTGTCTTTTCAGTATTTGGATCATAATTACTTATGGAAGACACAAACTAAATCTGAGAGGAGGAAGATCATGAAACCTCGACAACAAGGTTACTTGCCCTTCATCCGTCTAATGGGCAGTTCTAAGAGGGCACAGGGGAGATACTGGTTCCATCCTGACCAAGAGGCCCCATTTAAATCTAGTACAGCACAAAGGGCATCCTAACATGCCTCAAGAGTACACATTCCTTATACTTCATTTATTTGGTGACTCTCCTCTCTCTAGTCTTCTTTTGCCCGTTTCATTATGCAAGAAAATACAAAATACCAGGGTAAATGTGTTAACTAGAAAGGCAAATTCCAATCGATTGTTACTATGAAAGGAGATCAATTTCTGATCTTTCCAGAAAATTCACATACCTGCTTTCACTAACCTCCATGGTTAGCTCCTTTAAAAAGTGGGTAACTTATGGAAACTCATTTTTGCTAATTTTATATATTTCATTTCACTTTCAAAGATGATGCAAAGAATGCTTCACACATTTCTAAATGCATTTTTCCCACATGATCCTCCTTGCAAAAAGAATTGTCAAGTGAAACATTTTCCCCTTTAAATAGGCAGAACATTGATGCTCAGAGGTGTTTTACTAAAGCAGGGGATATG